TAATTAAGCCTAACCCAATCACGCACCCTCTCCCATTTCCTAAGGCTTCGTGAGACAGGTCTCCTGAAGGGAGCTGGAGCTAAGAAGTGTATGACTCTGACTTGAGGCTCTGCTGACAGCTGTAGTCGATTTGCTTGGCATTTATCTCGAAGTTAATATTTCACAAAAGAATGAGAGGAGAGTTTTCTGGCTGGAGTTTTGCGCTCCCAGGGGACAATCCAGCCTCAGCTGCCCCCAGGTTTTGGGTCGTGAAGCCTGGCCCCCACGGAGATTCCATGTGCTGAGGGTGCCAGACCTGGGTTTGGGATAAAGGAGTATGTTCCTCTATGCTCTTAATTCTGAGCTGGAGGTAGGCAGAGACTCATTACTCCACGTAGGAAGTTGGCCTTGATATTTCCTATCTCATGCAAGCCCCTGAGCCTAGAGTAATTCACAGGCCACCCTGCTTAGAGTTTTATAGTGAAATATTCCTCAACAAGTACAAAACCTACAATCCATTTAGGAAGGCTTTGTGTGTTAAAAGTCATTTTTATAAAATATTTGGAGATGGGTTCAGCTGGGAAATCTCTGGTTCTAGGTTGTGTGATGCTTTTTTTTCTGTATTTACAGAAACATATAAAAGCCAAGAGTTTCTTATATTTCCTCTGTTGTACAGTATCTCATATCAAAATACTCATCAGTTCCAACTTACAAGTCTATGGTGAAACACAAAGACAAATCTGTAAAAAAGAGATGGTTAAATGAAATGACCCAAGCTTGGGTTGGATGAAGAACAAATTCTATTTATCATTCCTGGTTTCATTCTGCCTAAGTAAACAACAATCTTATCCCCTAAATGAACTCCTGAAAACCTGTTGTTGAAGTGCTGGGTGGATTTCCTCTTGATTTCATTCCCTCTCTCCACACAAATCACTTTTTGAACAAGGCTAAGAGGCATGATCTGCTGGAAATTATTAAAGTATAGGGCTACAAACATACTTTTAAATTATGGGATTTCTTCTCCATGCTGGTATATTTAAATTCCAGAACAAATTACACCTCTTTCCACTAAGTCATTTCTATGACTCCTATGTCACCAACAGGCCTCTAAAGACTGAACTCCTCCCTCCACTACACACTGAAGGTTCTGTCAGGCCTCCAACATGATCCACCTTGCAACTTGTATACCCACTCCTGGGAGGGAACCTCAAACTTTGATCCTGGCTGTAACCTTCCTAAGGTAAACACCCTGCCACCACTCATCTCTGCACTTATTTTTGAGGGCTTCAGAGTTACTTAGAGACATATCGGTTTTTTGACATTTTGGCTCCTTCCCGATTCTTGCCCCAAGAAAGGCCAAAGGCAAGGGGGCTGGTAGAGTCCTCCAGTTTCTGGATGCTAACAGCTAAGAGTCTAGGCATGATGTGTCTCTGAAGGGGCCCTAAGGGTGAAGAGCAAAGATGTATAATTGGTGTTACCTGCTTTCATCTCCCCAATCACTGCTCCCAGGAGTAGTTTGAGCACAGTGAATTCCAGATCTTTTAAAGCAGGGCTAGGCTGAGCCACTGTGCTCAGTGAATCCCTGTGTGGCCTGCATTTATGGCCATTAGACTGGCATCACCATACTGCTTGGAGTGGAGATACCAATTCACCCAGTGGCATCTCAGTTTGGGGAAAATGAAGGCCCAATACTAAACTAAGTCCACATCAGAAATTCTGAGAGGATATACCATATTGGGACTGCCCCTTTGGTCCTCCTTCCTAAAATGCTCAATAACTCTTATGAAAGGACAGACAGAAAGAGTGCTCATCTTCCCCCTAGTGACCTCTTATTCCAACAGTCTCCGTCTCTGGGCCTGAAATTCAAGCCCTAGTTATGCCAGGAAGGCAGTGACCTTAGATAATACATGATACAGAAATCACTGAGAAAGATAAAGATCTTCAGATGTTACTTCATTTATTACAGAAGGAAAGCAAACAAATGTATACTTTGTGCTTGAAGGTAGCTGGCAAATGGGAGGCGCACATTGGGTCAGAGATCTTTTTAGACCTGAGAGGAAGAAGAAATGCTGACAGATCTGGCAATATCAGCATGGTCTGAAAGCAATAACCAGGACAGAGGCTTGCACACAGATGCATCATAAGAAAATTAGAAACTAAGTAAGAAAATTACAGACCAAATAAGAATATACAACAGGAAAGAGACTTAGATTGAGCTTTATAATCTTCATGTCTTTTAATTTCTATGCTGTCTAATGCACTCCTTCCCAACTTCAGACACTAGTTCTGTCTGTCTCCTTGAATTTCACTAAAACTCTCACCTTGGCGAGTGTCAACTAGAGTAGTTTGACATTCACCTTCTTGGCATTTGAGGCACTAACACAAGAGTAAAGATCATGAGTGAGAAAAAGAGAAGGAAGTTCTGGACCACACTGTACAGTCTGCAAGTTGTGAGGTCTTCATGGAGAAGCTCAGCCTACACCTCTTGATAGCAGTGGCAATAACTGAAATGGTGTATAAATTGGCATTGTTCTTCTCTAGCTTTGTGCCTTATTTCTCTCAATCTCACATAACCAGATTCAGGACTAGTTGAAAACTTTAAACATCTGAAATGAATGAAGAAAAATCTCACATTCTAATTTTTATTTAGTTTCATTCAGTCCTCTTTAGGGTTGGATTTCCCTATGACAATACTTTGTAAATTCCATGTAGTTGGAAAATATACTTCAAAATTTTATATTCCACTAGTTTACACAGAATACAGTGGATCCAGGCTCACTTTTAAAAAAGAGGGATGGTTTAAGGAGCAATCACATCATAGAGTAATATATATACTGGCCTGTTTGTCTCTAGGAACACTATTTTCCCCACAGTCAGCCTTCTCACAGTCTCTTCCACTTTAAAACATGCACTCTATTGTTAGGACTTAAAAAGTTAGACAAACATACCCCTTTGTCAACTTCTTCACCCTCACCTTCAGGGCTGCAGGACTCAGAGAAACAGCAGGCTGCAGGTTCTTGCTTGGTTCCTGTGTTTTCTTATGATTGGAAACTCTGTGGAAATCCTATGGCTGGAGGGGGAGCTGTGGAATGAGGGGTGGAGAAAGAGATTTTTGTATCTACCTGGTGCAGCCTAATCCAGTTGGAGAGGGTTGGCATAACCTGTGCTCATCTAGGCTAGTGTTCCCTTGCTGCTCAAAGAGGGATATGGCCTTCTTTCCTAGAGCCATGTTAAAAACATTTCCTCACTAATATCCAACTCAGTCATCAATCATTTTAGACTTGTTCTGAATGAAAAGAGGTGCTTCAAAAACAAAAGTTACTATATCACAGGTCTGTAAGTCACCTGTATTTAGTTTAATAATTTTTAAGAACTATATGCCTTTATTTAAAAAAAGCTTTATTGCATAATAGTCCAGGTGTTTTTCAACTTAATACTAGGTTTTAAAAAATGCGTGGGTTAGCTTTGAGACCCTCCCCCCACCAAAAAAAAAAAAAAAGAAAGAAAAGAAAAAAAGGGTAAATTCTATTTTCCCCAAAGTATGCAGTTGCCTGCATTAGCAGTCCAGTTCAGTTGCCACTGCTCTGAAGGGACTTGCCCACATGTCTTTTGCATAAGAAGCTCCAATATGAAGTATTCAGTTGTTCCTTAAGTTTAGGTTTTCAAAGGGTAGAAATGTTTCCCTTCTCTAAAAAGTTGTGATAGCTATGTGCTGAGAAATAAACAGAATGAATACTGCCTAATGTAACTCTTGTTGTGAGTACTTAGTTTAAAGAGATAAGTATCTGTGAAGTAGAGCTAGTTTTGGTCTTGATCTTGATTAAGTAATAAACTTGAAATGCGATTATTTTTAGGACACTTCAGGATATTTTAAAACTTTATTTTAAAATTGTGGATTTTCAAGTTACCTCCATTTCGGAATGACGGCTTCACTGTGCCTGCACCATGCTATCTTTATACAGAAAAGGATTCCAAGACACCCAGCATATAGAAAGACTTTAAAAAGAGTAGGACATCTTTGACAGCTAAGTCCTAGTCTGTAGTCTGTGTGTGTTTATACCGGAATCCCCTCCTCCAGTACTACCTTACTCTGTACCTTCATGAACTCGTAATTCTCTACAGACCTTGGGGGTTCTGAGCTGAGAAGACGTAAAGCCTTGCGTGTCCACTTCTGGCTTGGGCGTGAAGATCCCAGTTCTTGCCGCGCTCCAGAGCCGTAGCTGGTGCACTGGAGAGGTTAGATAAGTGTCAGTTGCATTGAACTGCTGCAGACGAAGACTACGCACCTTTCTCAAAGAACAGATTTTCATGACCTTACATTTATAAAGTTATGGGGCAAACATTGTAAGCCGAAAATTGCTCCTGAGAAAAAAAACCGCAGACATCTCTTTTATTAGGAGTCAGGGCAGACACTCTGAACAACTGAGATGCACACCGAAAAATACCTGCAAATGGTGAGAAATTAAGGCAGATCCCCCCCACTGTCACCTTTGAGCCCCAAAGAGTTATTCTTTCTTTCCTTTCGCAAGTCTTTAAAGAATTCTCTTGTGATCAAAAGGTCCGAGGAATTCAGGCATAGAGTTCCGGCGGACGGGCTATTAATGGCTCCGCGGTGTTTTCCTGGACAGAGAAATGTTAAGGACTTCTGTGAAAGTAGGCGGCGACTATAGCGGGGGTGGGGGTGGACATGAACGCGCCAAGCTCTGGTTAGTCCTCGGCGGGAAAAGACAGTGCTGGCGGCAAGAGGCGCGTACCTCTG